AGATTTTGGGGGTAACTCTCTGAGATTTTGGGGGTAACTCTCTGGGATTTTGGGGGTAACTCTGCGGGATTTTGGGGGGTAACTCTCTCTTCTCTCCACAGACGCCCCGGTGCAGAGTTACCTGGCGGGGTGTGACCCCCCCCTGCCCGCCTCCCCTCGCCCCCCCAAGCCCCCCAAGCGCTCCCGGGCCGCCTTCTCTCACAGCCAGGTCATCGAGCTGGAGAGGAAATTCAGCCACCAGAAATACCTGTCGGCCCCCGAGAGAGCCCACCTGGCCCGGAACCTGCAGCTCACCGAGACGCAGGTGAAGATCTGGTTCCAGAACCGCAGGTACAAGACCAAGAGGAAACAGGTGACGGCGGAGCTGGCGCGCTCGGACACTGCCCTGGGCGGGCACAAGGGGCACCCGGAGCTGCCGGGGGCATCGCTGCTCGCCCTCAGGGCCACCTGGCCCTACCTGCCCTGCCTCTACTACCTGCACGGCTGGAGCCCCTCCTGGTAGCGAAACCTTTTTTTTCTTTCTTTTTCCCCCCTTTTTTTTTTTTTAAGCAGAAAACGTCGCGTTTTTTTGCTTTAAGTCCCGGGCGCGGCGTCGCCCCTTTCTAGTGCTAATTAGGGGAGGGATTCGCAGTAACTATCGGTGTCTTCTACACAAACCTCTCGTCGCTGACAGTAAAATAACCGCCAAAAAAAGAAGCCAAAAAAAAAAAAGCCCAAGACTTTAAGTGTTTGAGCATTAAATTCATCTTATTTTATTGCAGCTGTGGCCGCCCCATCCCTGGAAGTGTCCAAGGCCAGCTCAGAGCAACCCGGGCTAGTGGGAGGTGTCCCTGCCCCTGGCAGGGGGTGGAATGGGATGGTTTAAGGCCCCTTTCCAAGCCAAACCATTCCAGGATTCCCTAATCTGCAGCTTTCAGGGGCAGAAAGGGGCTGGTCCAGCCCCAGAGACACCAACTGTCCCCAGAGAGGGATCTCTGCCCCTTTGCAAACCACCTCCCTCTGCCCCTTGCTCGGGGCAAAAAGCAAACTGCTGGCACTGAGCTGGCATGGCACGGGCTGGACGAGCTGAAAACTAGGCTTAAAAATTAGTAAAAAGGCCAAAAATCTCATTTCTGCCGTTAATACCACTAATACTACCGACCTTTGAGCTCCACAGCCCCCGCCCGGGGGCAATACACGTGTTTTTGGGGCAGAATTCGGCTTCTTTGTGCCACACAAAGGGCCTGGTGCTGCTGGGGCAGCCGGATTTTTTGGGGGGCACGAGGTTGGGCCGGGGCTGGGGCGGGTTGTCCCCACCCAAACCCGCCCCTGTGCCCACGGTGCCAAGGCTGTTGGTGCCTGAGGAGCCGTGAGAAGGGACAGGGACAATGGGGCACTGACAGATGAGTTTTGCATATCCGGGTGTTGGCCCTGCTGGAACATTCCCTGTTTAAAGCAGCAGCAGCAGCTGCAGGAGTTCAGCTCTCCCAGCACAGAATTCCCTGGTTCCATGGGTTGGAATCCTGGGGGGTTTAAGGCCCCTTCCAACCCAAAGCATTCCAGGGTTCTGTGGGATCAAGATGCAAGATAATGATCCTACAAGTCATTTTTTGCTGAACAAACTCCTGCAAGTCATTTTTTGGTGAACAAACTCCTGCAAGTCATTTTTTGCTGAATAAACCCCTACAAGTCATTTTTTGGTGAACAAACTCCTGCAAGTCATTTTTTGCTGAATAAACCCCTACAAGTCATTTTTTGGTGAACAAACTCCTGCAAGTCATTTTTTGCTGAAT